TCTCCTTGACGACATGCTGGGGTCACCTTACTTCCTGGTTCCCACTCTATCACTGACACTGTTGTGGACCAGATGACCTCTGAGCCCTCCAGTCTCTGTTATCCCCGCAGTGGTGACAGAGCCTACGTAGCACGAGCTTGAAGCATCTTCCACGTCAGTCCACAGAGTTCTAAGTTCAGCGTCTGGCTCATGTTTGCCAATGCTCTGTGTGCGCACATTCCAGCCCACTGCGAAGTGGAGAGGCCCCTCGCGTGGGCTGTGATCTGGACTCTGAAGCAAGCAGGAAGAATTGCCAACCACTGTTTGTCATTTGACTGGACTGCTAACTCCTGGAAGGCAGGGCCTGGGCGTCTTATCCTTCTGACGCGCAATACCAGGGAGCTTCAGAGTTCCTGGGAAAATTCTATTAGCTTTCCATTCCAGTTTTCATGAGCTTTCTGAATCCTCTGTATGCACAAGGCATATTTGTTCAATAAATTAAGCCTCTGCTGGAGCTGGATCTCAACCAAGGCTCTCAACTTCCTGAACTTTTGGGAATGCCCTCTCCTGCCACTTCCTAGGAGGATGCAGGGAGGCCCCAGGGGAGCAGGGAGGGGGATCTGGAGGGAGGTGGAGGGTGGCCTGTCCCTGTCTCAGGGTGCCAACTTTTCCAGGCTGGAAGCTCCCCCTGTTGGGCAAACAGTACCTGGAGCTCCTGACCATGTGGTACTGCAGCGTTCAGGACTGCTGTGACAGCGGGGACTGCAGGGTCTCCAACAACTTCACAGGTGGGAGTGGGGCTCCTGATGTGGGCAGGGGGAGGCTGCAGAAGAAATGGCTGGGTGCAAGGGACTCCACTGGTCAACCTGCCCCACCTCCCCCAGGGGGATTGCCACAATGGGATTGAAGTCAAGGCTGCAGTTACGGGGGTCTGCTCTGGGTGAGATGAGATGCACAGCTGCTAGCTTTTCCTGAAATAGCTCCATCACGTAACCCTGTGCGGCACTGTCATTCATGGGTCCGCCTTCTTCCATCTCGAACAGGCCTAAGCATCTTCATCCAGGTCTTTGAAGGTGCACTAAAATACTTGAATCCATGACAGAAGGCTCCTTTTAGCATCAGTTTAATGGCTGGAGAAGCCAAGCTGGTTTCCTGAATCTTGGGCATCTGCAGGAATTAGGGAGACAGCAGGGAGCACTACCGGACCAGATGTAGGACAGGCCTGACCAACAGACCCTGTCTGAAGAAGGGGAGAGAAGTTGCCCCCTATATGGACTGAAGGCTTCCTGCTGCTAATTTGCCACCCTTCCTTCCCTGCCCGTGCCCCCTGCCGTCCCTGGGACAGTGGGGGGGGTGGGGGTGGGTAGTGAATGTACCAGGCACCATGCTGAAAGTTCTGCAGGGGTCCCCCGTATCATCCCCCGCCACCTTGCCTTCCTCGGAGAGGCGCAGCAACCCCCATGCTGCCCACCTCAGAGAGAGCTGAGGGGGATTGTGGGTCAGACCTGCCAAGGTCCCCTACTAGTCGACCCTGAACTTGGGAAGGCTGTCCCGTAGGCACAGCTGGCAGCCGATGCACCAAATCCTCCCTCCATCCTCTGGCTGCAAAGAAGCCAGCCTAGGCAAAGGCTTTGTATGTGGTCGCTGCTCCTAACAATGTTGTCCGACTGAAGGAATAAAATGAGGCCTTCTCCATTAAACATTTGAGGGAATCCCGAAACTGAGGAGTGGTGGGGACGCTGGCAGGCCTGGGGTTGGGGGAGAGAGGGGAGACCGGACAAGATTTGGGAGCGAATCTGGGGTATCTTCAGCATCTGCTGCAAAGGTAACCCCATTCTCTCTGTAAGCTCCATCTTGGTTTCTCAAACTTTGCTGAAAAGAACCCTGGAGTCCCTTCAGTAAGGTTGCCTGCCCTCTGGCTTCCTGTCCTGTGGCTCCAGAGGATGAACAATGGGCCCACCTCAGAGAAGGTCCCTGGTCTTGGAGTTCAGTGGGGGTCACGCCCGTGGGGGCACTCTTACCGTGGCCACCTCTTTCTGCTCCCAGGCCTCAAGTCAGACCTGCGAGTACGGCTGCACGGCCAGCACCTGGCCCAGGAATTGATCCTGAGAGTGGTGAGGGACTACATAGAGACGCCCCGGCCGCCGCTCAAGGCGCTGGCCCTGTCACTGCATGGCTGGTCGGGCACCGGCAAGAACTTCGTGGCTCGGCTGCTGGCGGAGAACCTGTACCGGGACGGGCTGAAGAGCGACTGCGTCCGAGTGTTCATCGCCACGTTCCACTTCCCTCACCCCAAGTACGTGGAGCAGTACAAGGTGAGGCCAGGCGCGCTGACCCCAGCCTTTCTTACACTGGGGGAACCTAGGGTGAGGGTGTACTGAGGGGGCGGCTGCCTTTGCAACCGAACCTCGGACGGACAGACACACAGACGCCACCACTCCCCACACCCCCTACACAGACTCACCTGTCTCATTCCCAGCCGTGTACAAGGGAACAGACCCAGAGCCAAGACCGGGAACCCCGCGGGGGTGCGGGGGGGGGGAATGCTCCCTTAGCAAAGAGAGAGGCTTTGCCTGAAACATGGGAGGGAGGAAAGCCGAAGCCTCGTATGGCCTCCCCGCGTGGCATTTGGCGCAGCATCCTTAAGACTAGCTGCCCTGCTGGAGCTTTTACCAGCATACTGGGCAGAAAGCTGCACAAGGAACTTGAAGGAAAGTCTTAAGGGGGGGGTGGGTTCTTATTTTGTTTTTTCTTTTTACTAAAAGATATTTTTATTGGGGGCTCTTATAACGATCCATATATCCATTGTATCAGGCATATTTGTCCATGTTGCCATCGTTATTTTTGAGACATTTACTTTCTATTGAGTATCAATAGAAATCAATAGGTATCAGCTCCTTTTTTTCCCTCCATCCCTCTCACCCTCTTGACCCCTTGATGAATTATAAATTATTATTACTGTCTCCCTTCCCCAAAGTGGGGTATTGTAAACGATCTCCATCTTCCCACAAG